GGCAACACGCCGCTACTAGGCCTTAATTCGACCTGAACGCGCGCCTTCAGCACATACAACTGCTATTTGATATCACTGCGAGATCCCTGCTGACTCAGCACTTCATTTCAAAATGCTATTCTGAAAGAGCTAGTTTATTGCAATAACCACTAAGGTGCTGTGAAAGCTAGCTGCATCCGGGGGGGGGGGGGGAGGGGAGCCGGCACAACTGTGCAGCTCTTCCTTACAGCGCTGTGCCATCTTACGGTGCCGTGTCGAAGCAGATGGACATTTCACCGAAAGTGTTGTCTAACACTTCTTTTTATATGACATGAAGTGCTCGCGTTATTTATAAGAGTTCTATTATCTATATCGTTGTGTATATCAGTTTTGTATATAAGCATGTCGCGTAGTTATTACTTTCCGCATACTGCAGTCATGAATCGAAAAAGGCGGTTGAGAAACAATTTTAATGAATAAGTGAGCCAGAATACGGAAACCTAAACTGAAATTTGCGTTTTCTTTAGCTCTTTGTGAGCGCACAAACACGCCAACCAAGAACACATTGCACATCGAAGAGCAGTCAAAATGCCTGAAGAAATATGGCAGTTTTGAGTTAAGGTTATGCATATCGATGCTTGCATTTTTCCGTTTATATGTAGCGCCCTCGCCCGGGAGAGCGAGAACTTAATTTCTGCTTTCGAAGCCACCTTTTCTTTCCTCCAATGAAAGTCAGTGTACTATTTTCTGAAAAAAGTAGAGTTTCCGTCCGGCGTTACAGGAGATGGCGTCCGTACACATGTGGTATATTCAATGCAGTACCGGTGTATACTGTATTTGGCCAGCAGTCGGCAAAACTGTCAGGGAGAGAGCCACTTTTGTCGATACACTGAGGGCCAGACAGCAATTACAAGGGGGGTGGGCTTTGAAGCCAAAAAGGAAAAAAAAATGGCGATTTGGCAATACTGTAGGAAAATGGTAGTCAAGGAACAAGGTTGCAAATTGAAAGCCCCGCTTGGAGTAAAAACTGCGTCGTCGGCCGTCAGACGGTATACCTCATAACACTATCCCGCAGGTTCCGGACGCCTGCATTAGGCGAAATTAGCTGCAAAGTTTTATATTTGCAGGTATATGAGCTTCAGCAAATGCAACTTTCATCTACAACAAAACTAAAAAGATTTATAATGACGAGAAAGCATCAAAGATCGTCGTGGAAAGCTGGTTTTTGCGTGCAACTGACGGGGAGAAGGTGAAAGTGGCCAGAAGAAGAAATAATAAGGTTTGATGATTGGTGACTACGGTGTATAGTTTAATGAGAAGCTTCACACACTGAGCTGCGCGCGGGCACGACACGCGTGAAACTTTTTATACTGTAGCACTTGCTCCCAAAAGCGATCGTATAAACTTGTACCACTTAGAAACCTTAACAGGCACTTCAAGCTCCGTTGAAGATGTTACCATTCACCCAAAAGCTTCTCTTCCTCCAAAAAGAGGCGGCAGACCAGACGATTTGTCACACATATCACTGTCCGTCTTTCGGACGCATATTATCTGCACATACCCACTACATGTCATGGTTTTGGTACTGACCTATGTTGCAATGTTATTGTCGCTCATAACAACCGTCATCTAAGTTTCCTAGTCTTAAACTAAGGGAAGGCTTGAAAGGCTGACTAGAAGATACTTTTGGTGATGACAGGGTTATGCCATAATAGACGATGTCATATATGATGTCATAGACCTCGGCAGTAAGAGGTTCATTCTTTAGTTATTCAGTGTATAGATACAGCTTTGCCACTAGTGTGTGTGATTTTCGCTTTGCTACGTCAAAACTGAGACGCTTCTCACCGTACCAGCGTCTCACCGTACGTATCCATCGTGTTGGCTATCCTTTGAAAGCGTGAGTGCAACACAGGATCCACGCTGGTGACACATTCATCATGTGTTGACCACCTACAAAGGACTCTTCGCGGTTCTTCGCTTCATGTAGTTGCTGATCAGTGGGTACACGCAAACTCGGAAAAGCGCTCTCTTATGTAGAGAAAACAAGTTACTTCAAATGACTGTGTGGGTTAGATTTCTCGTGGAGGTGTTTAGCAGGGACGGTTTGCTGTATCACTACGCGAGCTCAAGACTACGTTTGCTAAAGGTATGTATTCGAGAACCAGCAGTGACGACACGTACTGACTTGTAGTCTCTCGAGTACTAGTGACACAGAGTGCGCTGATATTCATTTCTCCTATGAAACACCGCTCTAGGAACTTCGAAATGCGTTATTGATTCCGCTGCTAAGCGTAGTCTCAAAGCAATCCAAGCTTGTCGCGGCTTCCTTATTCTGTTTTCTGTCCAGTGCTTAGGTTGAACAAGTGCACTCTTCTCGACAACCATTTAGTTTAGTTTCTAAAACTTTGTCTTGGTGAAATTTACCAGCAACCAATCCTGCAGAGAAGCATAAAATAAGTCTTTTTCTCAAGCAGTGCTCTCAAACTCTCCTTAACCAGTGGACCGCAGTCATGCAGTTGAGTGTAGGGCAGTGGGAGGGATGGATAGTCAGAAGACGTTGCCATTGAAAAAAACAACAACTTCGGAGTATCATTTACACAAGTAATTTTGGAGACGTGGTGCCATGATTCCAGCAACACGTTGATACCAGTCTGTAGAATGTCTCAAATCTAATGCCAATCGCGAAATATAATTTTCTCATGCCTATGTGTTAGAACGACATGGGGTGGTTCATAGAGACAATGCCTTAAACCAGTCATGCTAGTTGCGTAGCTCACGTAGTGCGAAAATTGAAAAAAAAAAAACATTGTGGCAAATACAGTCATGTGCGGGCCGCAAGCGGGAGCTGCATGTTGGAGAGTCCTAGTCTAATTAACAAAATAAGAACATTTAGAAAACTAATGTGTGTTGTCGAAGTGTTCACTCGGAATCTTATTGCGATTCATCTTCATTGCTATTTTCTTCTCAATAACGTGACAGCATGAGGGCGTTCTATAAAACCGCCTAAGTACAATTGCTAGATTAAACTTTTTAAAGGAGAACTTTCATGTCGTCAGTTTGTGCTAGAGCGTGTGTTTACTATGAAGTAGCCAAAGACGGCAGATTGGAAGTTCTGCGTTCTTTTTGATTTCGCCAATTCATGAAATAAATACAGACAATAATTTATTCCCCACAAGCGAACTAGTTCTCCACGAATGCACACATGGGCAAGATTGGAATTGAAAAATTCATTCAGTGATTGCAAACTCGTCCAATTTTTTGGTGCAGTTTTACACAAACAACACGGTCAATTTAACGGGCAATTTCATGCACGGGCAGTTTCACACAAGTTTATTTGAATATGCGTGGCGCTTTGCTCATAGCGCTATGACAGCGGGTTAGAAAAACGGGAGTGAGGTCACGAAGTGTGTCATTGCGCCTCACCCACTACGGACTTATATATAGGAGTGCGGCGAGCGTGTGGCCTGTTTGGCATGAAGGAAGCATGCGTGAATGTAAAGTGATTGCCGATGCTAATGGCACTAACGCTGCCTGACAAGTAACACAGCTTGCCAGATGCATGCAATCATCAGGTGAATTGCAAACTCATTTTACTCTGAATGAAAGAATGCTTTGGACCTTTATAAAGAATTTCAGAGATCTGCCAAAATTGCCCAAAGTCTTTGGAAGTATTCAACATATGCTAAGTCCTCGCTCTCAATTTTCCTAGACAGAACCGTGTCCTTGCAAAATTCTTGTCGGCTCTTAGTTCACTCTATTCTTGTAGCAGTTCACACCAGTTAGTTTAATGCAGGAGAACAGCGCCAAGAGCACCCACAAAAAAAAGGAAGTGTATGTGACACTTCTTAGGTTACGTCCCGCCTATATGACTCTCTTAAAAGAGGCACGGTGACGCTCTTGTGGCTCACGCGTCTCTCCGTATAGAGTACAGTGGCTCCCAAAGAGGGTAGACGTGCCCTTTTACGGAATCACATGCGACACGTCACCCGAAAAGAGTCACATACTTTTTTTTTTTCTTGGGGCGACTCGTAGAGACAAGCTATGCTCGTGGCTTAATGCTAGTCGCCTTGTCTTTTCAAAACATATGCTTATCAGTAATTTTTTCTGCTTTCCTGTGCCACAAATTTGCTGTCTCAACTAAAAAATGTGTCGCTTAGTTATTCATTCACTTAGGTGACCAAACAAAGGTGACTGAGCAATTTCTACGCTCAAGTGTAAGCTTTTCGTGTGGGAACTATAATTTTTGCACGTGTGAAATGCATTTTATAAGCAATAGGAGCAATTTTAAGAGCAGTGTAAATTAATTTTCAGCCAAATTTGCAACTTACGCACTATTACATAATCAGAGCTGGCTGTTTTCCAACCCAAATCTTACCGTATGTCTTCTAACTTCTCTCCTCCCATCCACTCCTTTCACCTCCTCCTCACACAATTGTCCACTCATGAACAAACACAAAATCGACAAATGCTATTTTTCTGACTATAAAAAAATATATTTATCATCTATGCTGGTTTATAACATCCAAATATTGTTGTCCGATGGATATCGATTGGCCTACTCACGTCGTTTGAAACGCGCTGCTTATCACAAATGCCATTTATATCATACTTAAAAATTCAATAAATTCTGATTTGCGTATTTACTTCTTTTCTTGCATTTCATTCAATATAAAAATACAACCGTGTTTTATGTGGCACCACTGATCTAACTTACTTCCCGTCTTTGTATTTCTGTGCTGAATCCAACTTTCAATCAAACAAAACTCGATCGCAATACTTTGTTTCACTCACGCACCACCTCATCCTCAAATTGCATAATCTGTGTAATGATAAATCGCAAACTAACGATGCAAAAAACCCTTAATGTGATTCCTATTCCAAATCGCAAACTCACGAATACTCTGCCACCTCGAATAACAAACAACAAAAACTGACCAACTCGCATTCCTCACACTCATACCTTTTCCCGCCCGTCCACGATCATACTGATATAAAAAAAACACCGACGGAACTCGAAGCACGAGCGGCGAAGAGGACGATGGCGGCATCGGTCGCGCACCCACCCCGCCCCCCCGCCGAGGCCTCGTGGGCGCGGTGCGTGCAGGCAGCTTTCGGCTGCCTTGCCTGAGCAAACAGGACAGCCATGAGCGACCTATCCTGAGCTGCAGCTCGAGCTCGCACGACACGCCTCCGCTGTTCCGCCTGGGCTCGTCGGGCCTGCTGCGCGCGGGTACTGAGCCGTCCTCATCCTCCTCGCTGCTCCACCCGACCATGCACAGGATCGCCGCCTCGCTGCGCCAGGCGCCCCTACCAGCCATGGCCGTCGCGGGACTGGCGCCCGGAAGCCCGCCCGCCCTACTTCGGGGGTCGAGCCCGCCGCCCCGGGACGCTTCCTACACAGGGCATCCTATCACGGTGAGCAGCTTCTTCCTATTGATAGGTCACGAGAGGTTACCGTACTTACCCAATTACACCGCCTCTCCAATTTTTTATGACAGAATAAGAAAAAAATGCTGAATTCCCGATTCTAACGCGCACCCGTTCTTCACCACGAAAGATAAAGTAATCAACTGTGTACTCAGCTCCTAACGTGTTTGAAGTTCTCACGATCGAACAAATTGTGCTAATATTCTGTACGTTCGCAAGCTCATATTCGGTAACACCAGCTCATCTGCGAAATGTGTTTTTGCGAAAATACGCTGAATGGGTTGCTCGGTACTTGGAAATTATCGTTTGTGCATCCTTGCAGCAAAAATAGGTACCAGACGATTCTCTTGTTGCAAAAGTTATCTCGATACACATAATCGGAGGTAAGCATAATATAAAAATTAGCGACCAATTTTTTTAACTCGTGTCGGCTGAAAACTCCTTGAGCACATAATATTGAAATCGATGTATATCTAGAAAACACGAAAGCAACGCATTCCAACCAACATGGCTTCCGGTGAGAACTGTCATGAGTAACGCAGTTTGTTGAAACCAATGACGACTTCTCAAAGGCAATAGATAACAAAAAACAGGTTGATGCAATATGCCTTGACTTCTTAAAAGCATTTAATCAGGTGTAAAATAACGAGCTAATTATCAAACTTAAACAGCTCGAAATAAAAAAATTGACAGATCCCACATAGAGTGTGAATTGATGATACCAAGTACGAATGAACAATATTGGCATGTCACTTCAAAATCAGCCCAACGTTACGAGGAGGAGGTAAAGTAGGCCGTACATGGCTTTCATGTCATGATTATCATGTTTGGTCGTGTCATTTACGTTAGTTGTTAATTAATGTCATGAGATGCCAAAATTCGTATATGTGAAGGTGACTTGAATAGATGGCGTAGGTAAATTACCTTCACCATCAATTAAAGTCACGTGATACAAAGTTTAGTATATGTGGACATAGCGAAACGGCTGCGAGCGTGCTATGAGCGTAGCAAGTTTTACGTGAGGCGCATATTATTAACATGTTTGGACCTGTCATTTACATTCATCATTCTTTCATCACGTAATGCGAAATTTGCTATATGTAAGACGGCCACGAGCACGCTGTGAGCGTAGCGTGCAGTCGTGATTTACATGACACGCATACCATGATTATCATGTTTGGACGTGTCATTTACTTTTGTCGTCTATTCAGGTCACGAGATAACAAATTTGGTACGTGTGAAGGTGGCGAAACAGCCTTGAGTGCATTATGAGTGTCGCATGAATACTCTGCTTCACCACTTTGGTTCAGTGCCAACAAAGCTACGGGGTGTAAGAAAGCCACACGCTTGCGCAGCGAAACGTAGTACCACATTGACAAGAAAGTCTCGAATTGACGCTTTTGGGTGTGTGTTACGCCACATCGATACGTGATATGTTTATGCTTCTTCGCATTTATTTCCTACGCGTTAAAATATTTGTGTCGTTATTGCCGATAACGGTGTTTACAGATCAGCATGACAGCACCCATACAATGCGGCCACCCGCTTCGATCCGGACTTGCTCTTGCTGCACGCCCACTGCGCTGACAGCAGTAAACGAATGGGTGAAATCGACCATCAATTTGTTTCATCTCACTTTGGGAATAAAACATCAGGGACGTTTTGTCGACTAGTGAGATATGCTGGTTGCCTAGTCGCACATGCTAAGCTTAACGCGCAAGACAGTGTTCGGGCTGCGTCGCCAGACCAAGAACGCTGCATCTACAAATATTGGACATGCAACCTCACACAGCGCTCAGTGCGCGGTGGATCCTTATTCGGTGGAAACGAAAAAAGAGAGAAATGGATCGTTACAGCGGGAGACGCGAAGCATTACGTCGACGGAGAAACTGTTCTACGAAAGCCACGGACAGCGTCGAAAAAAAAACAGCCACATAGTGAAGTTATCCGCCGACATGAGATTCCGCCGATCTTCATCAGAGCAACGAACTCACGCTTCTTCAAGTTCCCGGTGTAGTTGCCTGTATAATAGCTTTACTGCATTTTTAAGTTAACAAACTAGTCATAATAACTACAATTCAGTAAGCAGACGAAACGGCGCGAATGTGAAGGGGCTAAGCGCCCTTTCTATTAACTGAGGGGCCTGTAGTCTCCACAGTGCTGAAGGGAACTTCTGAAACGGAGAATAGTGATGTTTTTACATGACACGCATCTCATGATTATCATGTTTGCATCAGTCACGTACCTTTGTCATTCATTCTCGTCCCGTAATACCAAATTTGGTATATGCGATGCTAACGAAAGGGCCGCGAGCACATAATAAGTGTAGCATGTAGTCATGTTGTTACATGACACTCATTTCATGATTTTCTTGTTAGAATGCTCCGCTTGTGTTCACCATGCAGTCACGTCATACCATACAGTTTTGCTACATGTTATGTGAACGAAACCACCCAGTACAGCAAGACCATGAACTGTAAATCATGACATGCATGAAATACAAATAATGATTTTCATGTTATGACTAGTCAATTAAGCTTGACATTCCGTCATGTTATGCGATACCAACTTTGGTATCGATGCAAATATTGAGACGGCCAGGACAACCAAAAGTAGTAGGCGGCTAGATAGATAGATGGATAGATAGATAGATAGATAGATAGATAGATAGATAGATAGATAGATAGATAGATAGATAGATAGATAGATAGATAGATAGATAGATAGATAGATAGATAGATAGATAGATAGATAGATAGATACGCTCAATGTCGCTGAAGTTCACTAAGAAATGCGTCGCAATAATTAGCAATATAGAGGAATGGACAAGGTCTTATCTGTGACGTAGGACATAGTATGTGGACATAAACGGCCATCATTCGGATTGTTTAACACTAACTTCCAGTATACTCCAGGGTTCTCACTTCTCATTTATTTCTCAATTATAATAATGACACTTGTTCTGATATGAGTTAAGATGTTACTGTGCGGCTATTGGAGGACTATTGTCTAATTTATTGAAGAATATGTACCCAAAGTGATAAGAAACCCTGAGCGATGTGCTGACGCCTATTGAGAAATGATCTGCAACTTGGAAAATAGAGCTAAATAAAGAAAAAACTGTTGTTATACGCGTCATAAACAAGGTTAAGGACGTCGTAACTCTGATTATCAACTATCACTGTACTATTCATTTTTAACATAGTGAAATACTTAGGAGTGACAATATCTAAAGCCCTCAACTGGACTGAACATATGAATAATATTTGTTGAACTGCTGAAAAGAAGCTATAGCTCTTACGTCGAAATTAAAGCTCACTTCAGCAAAAGAAAAGTTAACAGCTTATTTATCAATAGTAAGATGTATATTACAATGCGCTATTATACGAGTCTCTTATCAGAAAGGACTAATTAATAAAGTTATGCGAGTACATGGGAGAGCGGCTGGATTTATTCTTCCAAGATACACTTGAGCTGATTTTGTGACAGAGATGCTGCAACAACTAAACTTATAAACTCTTTTGTAACGCCGTCATATAACTAGACTGAAATTCTTGTTTTTGCTTTCTCAAAATGCATTTAATTGATGTGTAGTGCATGATCATCATCATCATTTTCTCAATCACCGCGCCGCGCCTCTCGCGCAGCTGATGCTAGCTCAAGCTGCGCGAGGATTAGAACAAGCTAGGCACTTGGTGTGTCGGACGTGGACAGCCACCGCGGCTCCGCTTCAGGCGTGGAATAAAGTGGCGAGAGAACGACACGACCACGTTGGCCGCCATCCCGTCTTCCTCTCTCGCTACATTGGTGACCCGGAGAACACGCCCTTCGCCGAGCGGCCCGCGGCCATGTTCCCGCAACTCTTCCCGCCAGTGCCGCCGTTCCAATCGACCTACCCCAAGGTATGGTTCATGCAGCTCGATGCCGTTCTTGCGCTGAATGGCGTCACGGACCAGCCGCTGATGCACGCCATTCTTCATGACGCCCTTCCGGTAGAGTTGCGTCATAACTCTGCCACTTCAACCTCCAACCAGCAGCCTTACGATGACCTCTGCTCTGCGGTGCTTGCCAGCTATGGCCTCACCTACCACCCGCTGCCGTTTGCCCGCGACTTTCAGGTTTTCCCTGCGTCGCAGCGTGCTGGACCCTCCGGCCCGAAGCTCTCATCTGAACGCAACCTAACTTCCCCGACAACGTCTCTCTCCACCTTGGGTCCGGCCACTAGCGCAGTGAGTCTCGCACCCGGTCACAGATCCGACGAGGTTCTTGAAGTCGTTCCTGCTGCCGACAACCTGTCCACCACGAAGTGCGTTTTTTCGAAGTCCTCGGCCGATGGTCCTTCTTGCATGCTTGCTACCTCCATGTTTTCCACGAAAGCGACGACACGCGACACCGTGGCCCCACCAGACTCCATGACGACCACCTTGCCGCCCGCATCGGAGTCTGGCACAGGTGACCTTTCGCCCGTTATTGACTTCCCGACCTCGAAGCTTTCGCCTTCAACAACGTCCGATAAACGAGACTTAACCTCTCGTCTGGCCACTAGCGACGCGTGTCCTGCGCCCGACTGCCCATCCGCCATAGTTCTCGACATTTGGGCTGAAGGCAACCAGTCAGCCACGGGGTTTGTGTTTTCATCGTCCTCGGCCGAGGACACTGCAGGCATACTTACCACCGGCTCGTCTCGGCCGACCTCCATGGCTCACAACACGGCTGACACGTCAGATGCTACAACGGCAACATCACCGAACGCCCTGGTGTCTACCATGACTACGGACATCGACACGCCTGCTATTCACCCCCCTGTCGCGAAGGCTTCAGTGTCGACAATGTCCGAAGGTGCCTTTTCACTCACCTCAATGATCTGCGTGTCCTGCCAGCAGCAACCATCCTCGCCCTCGCAGTCTCTCGCAGGCGAAGTTGAAGCCACAAGCTGTCAACCACGACCAAACTTCCGAGATGTTGAGACTATGACCGACGCTCCTGAGGACGACGTGCCTGGTCTGCCTATGTCACAGCAAACCGCACATCTCACGCCTGGCATACAAGCACCCATCTTCCATACCGACCTGCGCACGAACCGACGTACGCCGACTACTGAAGGTGTTTCCCCAAGTCAAGGTACGCCCACTGAGCCTCCTCCAGAGTCCATATCTGCTGGATCCCATGACACGCCTCCTACTGAGTTTTTGACGTAAACCGTAGGCGAGCTGGCGTGTAACTGGACTGTAGGCACACCCTTTTACAAGCCGCTTACGTCATTCACCTCTACCCCACGTGTACAATCCTACTTACTCACTGCCAACATAAGTGGTCAAGTCCACTCATATTCAAATACCACCCACGTCACGACACCTGCGTACCGACATCGGCACCAGTGCTGTGCACGCCCGCGAAAGCACCGCCAAAGCCATTGCTTGTCGATGGGTGGTCTGCAAGACTTCACTACGCCACTTCTAATTGCTTCGCGCGCAGGGGCCCAATCAGCTTTTGTGCACCCGTCGTCACCTCACCCTGAACGCCTCTCTACCTGCAATGCTCACTCGCGACACCCTGTGCGCTCACAGCTAGCCCCAGCTGGTCACCCTCTGACCCACTTGTGTGCAAACATAGTTTCCGAACGCTTACTTCTTCGTCCTCTGCGCAACTCCCAGTGTCGCCCACCAGAGACCCACTGGTTCCCGATGGTCACTACACGTTGACAAACTGGACTTCCTGAACGGACACCTTGCGGATTGTAGTTCATGTATATAGTCTCTTTCTCTTTCTTTGTTATACACACTTCAAATCGCGCAAAGCGCTAGGGGGGGGGGGAGCCCTGTAGTGCATGATCATCATCATCATTTTCTCAATCACCGCGCCGCGCCTCTCGCGCAGCTAATGCTAGCTCAAGCTGCGCGAGGATTAGAACAAGCTAGGCACTTGGTGTGTCGGACGTGGACAGCCACCGCGGCTCCGCTTCAGGCGTGGAATAAAGTGGCGAGAGAACGACACGACCACGTTGGCCACCTGTCCCGTCTTCCTCTCTCGCTACAGATGTAACGCAGTACCTCGTTCCAGGACATGTCCAGAACCTACGAAATGACTACCGCAGTAACTTTCGAATCGTCAAATCTGGTGTAAACACGTTAGCATACTTTTATTTTTCTAGAATCATAAATGACTGTAGTGATTGACCAGAGGCTGTAGAGAATTGTGAAACTTTAGAAAATTCGAATTCAAAACTACAAATATTTTCAGTAGTTTAAGTAAATCTTAATGAATGCTCACTCTCTTTTTTAAATAGTTTGATGAAATGTACCGAGTCACACAAATTTCATGTAACATGTAGAATTGGGTATTGTGATGCCTAATGCTCTGCAGTAAATGATGTAATATATGATGTATAGATAATGTAGGAGGTAGAGTAAATTAGAAGTTTTTGTACTTTTTTTTTTCGTCGGTGCATTGCTTCTTTGTTTGACATGATAGTTATCATATCATATTGTTCACCGTTTATATGTAATGATAAATTGTGTTTTTCTTTTGATTTTTGTACGTGTCTTCCTAGTTCATGTAAACAATGATTAGGTTTATACCCTTGGACTGGCGCGAGCGATCTGGCAGTGGCTCTTCATCCCGCGTAGAGGTTCTCTGGCACGGCGTCTGTACCGTACGGATCCATCGTGTTTGCTATCCTTTGAAGGCATGAGTACAACACAGGGTCCACGCTGGCATGATTCGTATGAGCACGGGCCGTCACGGCAACAGTGGTTAGCTTATGATGTTAACGGATGTGTGGAGTCACGGCAATCGAAAGAATTGAAATAGATGGCGTCATCTCGCGTGGAATCAATAAACCAATCAGTTTTATTTCACTTAAAATTTGAGAGAGAAGAAACAGGACAGAACTAGAAGCTACTGCTGTTTGCCAGAGGTCCGGCCCCCTTTCACAAATGACAGCAGCACATTGCAGAGAAAGAATAAGCGCAACACAATAAAAACAATGTAATACGCGATACACAATACATTTGCAATACAATAACGTCTGTAGGCATCAATAATGAATGGCATTGTGGATTTTCATTTTCATACCAAATACACAAGTATATATAAACAGGTCTACATACGCACGTGTATACGCTCTTTGGTAACATGTTCAAGACAATTTGAACACGAAGGTAAAAATAGGAAAGAAGAGAGAACAATATTATGCACAACGTTAGTAATCTCTGTGGCACAACTGACAAAATAGTTTCATATAAATCAATTATTCGGCCACTCCCGGAATATTGTTCCGCTCTTTGGGATCCATACGCACACAGAAAAAAATCAATATTGAAAAATACAGAGAAAATCAGTTAGGTTCATCTTTATTCAATACAGCTGGGAGGCATCAGTCACATCTCTTCTAGAAATGGCTGAGCTGGAAAAAAATTAGCAAATCACCGATACCGTGAACGAATGAAACTGTTTTACCTTTTTTATCATGAACACTTAGGTATCAAAAAGGATACATATCTAAAAGACTCCCACCGGCGGCCTACTCGGTCCCTTCATAATAGAAAAGTAAGCGAGTTCTCTAGTGACACCAATGTTTTCCAGTATTCTTTTTTCCAGGGAACTCCAACCGACTGGAATTCCCTCCCTTCAGCTGTGGTGGAAAGGCCGTCGCTGTCATCCCGTCTACAGGCCCTTCAGTCTATGAGACATAGCCCTGACATAGTATTACATGAACCCTGATGCTTTTTTTTCTTCCATATGTTTACGTGTTCATGTTTTTACCTGTTATTTAATTGTCTTGCTGCTGTGCTTCTATAACTTAATGTACTCTTCTTCTTTTGCTGTTATTATCGCCGCCATGCTTCATATGTGGTTATTGTAACCTTTTTTTGTATTCACTTGTACCCACTGCTGCCTAAGGTCTCAAGATCAGACCGGCAGTACAGTAATAAATAAATAAATAAATAAATGAATGTATAAAGAAATGAATAAATAAAATAAATAAATAACTATGGATGACGTATGCCAAACAAGATATATAAGAGGGGGGGAAGTGCTAATTGAGAGGGCAGAGCGGCTTTGGGAGAGGAGACCAAGAGAGGGCAGCGAAAGAAAGAGCGAAAGGAGTGATCGCTCCGTTTTGACAATTAAATGTGTCTATATCTGCGGCACCATCTTGAAAAAGTCTGCCAGCTTCATGTTCATTGCAGAATCGTGCACTACTTCCTCACCACTACAAGATTTTCTCCGCAGGGTGGTTTAGGGGCCCATAAAGGCTTATTTTACCGTAAAATGCGTTGCGTTATAATGGGGTTAATACCGTATACTGTTACTTGTTAGAAATCTTGCCTTTGATGTAAATGTGAGTTACAGCTCTGACAATATACTTTCATTACACACCGCAAGAACAGCATTAAAAGCCAGGGCGTCCATAAAGCATATTACCATATTGTAAGAAGCCTACAGGGGCTACACAATCACTGCATAGTACTCCAAAAATAAAGCGACAAGATTTTTCGAAAAAGAAGGCTATAAGGCAGGAAGACATTAATTACGCAATATTAGTTAAAGAGAGTTTATAGAAGGTCTTCAGGAACTTAACTTGTGAACAGTTAGCAGGCGATGCCTTAGTAACTTGTGATCTCTCAGTGACATTACTGTAATGAGTAACTCAGGGGACGAATTACAGCTTATGCTTACTGATATGGACAAGGAAAACAGGAGAGTAGGTAGGAAAATTAGTATGCACAAAACTGATTGATTGATATGGGGGGTTTTACGTCCCAAAACCACCATATGATTATGAGATACGCCGTAGTGGAGTGCTCCAAAAATTTAGGCCACCGGGGGGTTTTTTAACGTGCACCAAAGCTTGAGCACACGGGCCTACAGCATTTTGGCCTCCATCAAAAATGCCGCCGCCGCAGCCAGGATTCGATACCGTGACCTTCTGGTCAGCGGCCGAGTACCTCAGGCACTAGACCACCGCGGCGGGGCAGTGTCCTTAAAACTGAAGTAATGTGCAACATTCTCGGCAGATAACAGCGCTTTGCCATTGTTGGAGAGACGCTGTCAGTTCTCAAGGAATATGTCTACTTGGGACAGGCGGTGAATGCTGAGCCGAGCCATAAGGATAACTATGTTCACTGCAGGGCAAATGATTCTATTATGTACCACCAAGCGACGCTGTCGTGAGTTTTCTGTGGCCATGCTATGCCTGCAAACTTTTTAATCTTATCGGCCCTCGTAACTTTGTCTCCCTCTTGTGTGGTTGCCTTTCTGTGAATGAAGTCAGCAACCCTTAATTACCAGTGATTATTCTGCCAACTTGCCCGGCCCCTGTTCGTTTCTTTTTCTTGATTTCACCTATGATGTGGTTAACCACGGTTTGTTCTTTGACCCAATCTGCGCTATTCTCGTCTGTTAAGGCTACACCTATCATTTTATTTCGCTGTGGCTGCATTTTCGAAGAGGGCGGAAATGTTGTAGGCCCGTGTGCTCAGATTTGGGTGCACGTTAAAGAACCCCAAGTGGTCGAAATTTCCGCAGACCTCCACTACGGCGGGTGGTTGTTTTGGGACGTTAACCACCACATATTAATCAATATCATTTTCTTTTGTGACAGAAAAACGTCCCGTTCGCCTTTCCATCTCTAGCAGCTAGCGTGCACGATTGAAAATACTAGTAGGTGAACAAAACAAACAGCTTTCTCATCTTGGCGTGGGTGTTCACAGCGGCGTCTAGAGCACACAATTCCGAATGATCTTGAGAGACGCCTTGTCAGCGAACCGTCGAGAGCGAAGTGTGAGCGGACCAGAAACTGAGGCGCAAGTAGGAGAGAGAGCGAATGGCGACAGAAGGAGCGGCTAAGCACTGCAACTATCATTGTACCTTTCGAGCATAATGTCAGCGTTTTATCAACACAAATGCTACACAGACGTTGGCAGGACAAACGCTACAAACGCGTTTTAAATGCACTTCATTGAGGCGGTGGCAAGTCGTGTTCAAGTCAAGTAGGAGGAGGGGGGGGCTTGGTTTGCTAAGGGCTAGGATGATAAGCGAGCACGCCCGCAGCTTTTGCTGACAGCTGCCGACGCCGAAGCATGAAATGGTGAGGCTCCGGTCGCTCACCATGTCAC